CCCCCCCCCAAACAGACCCATACTTTACCAGCGGGAGAGGCAGGCATTCGGTTAGTTTTGGGGGGGGGGCTGAGGAGTGCAGGAAGAAGGGCAGAAGCAATCAGAGCTTTGAATTGTCATGTAGACCACAGGAAATAAGAGGAAGAAGCAAAAGATTTGGGAAGGAGCTTGAAGTATTGAGCTTGGAGATGTGTTGGAGGGGGTTAGAAAGAGTCAGCTGCAAAGCTGACTCTGGGGACCATGAAGGTAGCGATTGGGAGCTGCCAATGGTGGTGGAGGCGGGAGTGGGGAACAGCAAGGAAGGAGTGAGTGATGGAGAACGAAGCAGGGCAAGGCAGAGTGTGTTTAATTGGCTTTGCAGGCTGGAAGGACAGAGATCCAGAGCACAGCACGTTGCTGTCACACTCCATTACAGCCACTGGCCACATAATGAGAGCCTGTGCAATCAGCTCCCCACAGACCAGTCCCTCAAGCCACACACACACTGTGGACTACTCTGTTGGAAGCTATCAAACACCTTACCTGCCCTGCCTGTGTTCGCTGATGCCAGTTTCAACACACATGCAGCTTTTTTTCCTTCAAATTTCAAATTCAGATTTTCTTCAATTCTCCGGTGAATCGATGATTCAAACAGGAGCAACTGTGTCGGAAATTCACATTGTTTTGCTTTCTTTGTGTTTTAACTCAGCTCGAGAACAAGCTCAAGTACATTTAAAAAAAAATCCAGATTTTACCAATCAGTGTGCTCACAGGTCTTAGGCAGTGGAGCAGGGCGATATGACCAAAATATTTATCATGATATGCATTTGAAAATTTGCAATAACGATATAACTGACGATATAATTGAGACTAGACAAAATACTTTACAACTCCACAACTTTATTAATGCAAAAAAAAAAATCAACCTATTTTCACTTAAACAAGCAGCTGTTTTTTATGTGCATTAAAGTTATATAAAAATTTAACAGCACAAATGCAAATTCCTTGCTGACATTTTAACCAAAAGGCATTTCCAGTGGAAATTGGCCGACATATCCTCAGCATAACCAAGTATAATATCCACAAAACTTAAAAAGGGGTTATACACACACAATACGGTAATATTATGTTGAAGCACAGTACGTATCACTCCGCGAGGCTCCTGCCTACGATAGCCGTAATGCTACAACAATCCATCAAGCATTGCGGGTTCGTAGCTTAGCAAAGTCGTACTAAAACATTTGACAGATTTCCGAGCGCCGTGTACGACATAAAATCGTTTCGAGGTCAGTAAACACAACCAGAATTCATACATAAGGCACACGGGATTATAAGGGGCACTGTCGATTTTCAGAAAAATCAAAGGATTGATTTTAAGTGTGCCGTATTTTCCAGAAAACACGGTAATAACGACGACCCACTTGCACACTCTACCAAAAATAGTGCTTTGTTGTGTATCTGACGGATGAAAGCTAAACCAGTTCCACACCACTGAAGTTGCAGCTTTTTTACAAACCAATTCTGGTTCATCCTTTTCATTCACCGATCCACTTCCGTCCTTCTCATTCTCCGTCACCGCCATGCTTTTTCCGCCATGTGCGTATGAAAACAAAGGCACTGCGCATGTGCGTTTTACCCATATTCTATCGCGATATTTCATTTTCTTATCGTTGCCCAACATTACACCGGTATTACCGTGAACGGTACGATATGGCCCAGCCCTATTTGGCAGCCCTCCTGCATGCATGACAAATGCCTTTGAAGCATTTTGTAGTTCCAGAGCTGATTGAAATCTGCAATATTAAAACAAGTCAAACAATTAAAACATTATAGATTTGTGTTCATTAGTGGGAATTAAATACTGGTAGGTTTATTATGAGCTTTAGATTGAAACAGGCTTGCCATTTTATCCTGGTGCCTGCTCGACTTAGGTGAATATTTATTGAATCAATATGAATCCCCTCATCAGTCATTAAGAGATGTGCATTTAAAATGTTGGACAGTAAGATTTTGTCTGTTTACATCGAAATGTCTGTGAATGTTAGATCAGTTCGGTAATTATTCCCACTCACGCTTTTGCTTCTTTTCTGTTCTTCTCTTTAGTACTGAGGAATTTATTTAACACACCAAAGTGACATAAAAACATAAACTTATAATAGTGTTACTCTGTCTTGTGTTTATTTGTTTTCTTTTGGAACATTTGAAATATCAATAATAGAAAACTTTGAAATATGAATTTTTAGTAAGTAAAACTATATCCAAGATGTGGGTTTACTGAGCAGGTGTGAGGTCATACACATGCAGGCAGGGAGAAGGGGGGAAAGACAAAGTCCAAAAATTTGATGAAGACCTTGTGCACTTCATCTTCCTTCCCAGCTTCTTAACTCATTTCTCACACTGTCTCCTTTTTTACTCTTACACCTGCTCCACGTTTCACACAGCAACTTTTTTCTTTCACAGTTTCACTCTCACGCTCCATCTTTCACTTGCTAACAGTGGGCTGATCTCTTGCAGCCTTCACATGGAGATTTCTGTATCTCACTTTTTCTATATGCTCTGGGATTTAACTGCCTGGTTGGGGGGAAAAGGTGGCTGCTAACCGAAATTTCTTACCAAGATTTTCTTTATGGAGTTGGGCTGTAAAAACGTGGACGTACAAACTTTTAAAGTGGATTGCAAATGGCAAATTTTAGAAGACGCGATCTGAATGATCTGCTGCAGACAAAAAAGGAACAGAAAACCAGATGTTTTATTTCATCCTGTGAAATTTTCTTGCAAATGAAATGTGCACGCTACTTTTACACGTCCGGTGTGTGAAAGCCTTCATGCCTAAACTAATAAAAACGTATAAAAAATTCAATATTTTTCAAACAAAAACGAAAATCCACTCTGGCAGCTAACTGAACCTGAACTGGAAATGTAATAAAAATGAATAAGAAAATAGAAAATGATAATAACTTTGCATTAGACGTTGTGTAGGTCGAAAGGCAATAGAGTTAATGTACAGTGTTTTGTTGGGTTCATTATTTTTAGATTAAATGTATCTCATTAGGAAGACTGTTAGGAAAAATACGCACACCAGCCCTCAATATTCATAATAAAAAAATGCATTTTTTAGATTAGCCACAATTGCTTTGTGCAAGAGGAGAAAATGTCTTTAAAAAAATTCTGTTTGAACTTTGCAAAAACAATGCTAACAGGGGAGACTGACAAAAGCAAAGAGAGATGGGAAAAGAAATGTGAAATCTGAGAAGCAGAGAACGAGTGGGAGTTTAGATCAATAGGTTCTCAGCTGGCCAAAGGTGTCTTCTCCAGAGTTAACAGGTGCTGTGTAGCGTGATTGACAGCTCGATAGGGAAGCTGTCACCTAAGCGTTCTCTCTTTCCACTCATCTTCACAAACATCTCTGAGCACATTGATCCCTTCTCACTTTTTTTAGCCCTCCTTTTGTGCTCTACAATACAGTCTGTCTGCTGTCCAGAGCTAAAAAGAAAGCTCATCTTGACCCAGTAAGCCTGTAAGAGCGTTTGTTGTTCCATTTATTGTACACATATATATACACCAAGGCAATGGAAGCAGTGAGAAGAGAGACTGAAGGCGTTGCTTCAGATTTGCTCGTTAGTCGTTAATTGATGCCAACAAACAAAACCCAGAACTCCTCCAAGAGTAATTTATGAATGCATAAATTAGTCAGAACTCATGGGAAGAAAGAGAAGCTTAAGCGTTAGCTGTTTTTGAATTTTTTATTTCACTAATAAGAAGTTTGGCTGTGCTGCAGAGAGCAGTTGGGATAAAACTGAGCCTGGAATCTGACTATTAGCCCCAGAGAGGTTAAATTATTTAATTACATAACTGTGTGAAAGGTGTTTATTAGGGCAACTTTCATGAGCTCCCAGCAGCTTTTCAGAGATACAAAAACAGATTTTTGTATGAATCGTTTTAAACATTGTGACAGAAAACAAACACGCAAACTAGTCAGCTGCCATATCTAACCCAAGTAGTAAAATAAAAACATCAAATTTAAAAAAAAACCTGTTGACTGAGCCCCTGGGCTGGATGAGATTTAGGTTTCTTCAGGCTCTGGATGCTGTGGGGCTGTCTTGGCTGACACACTGGAAAAGTGGCATGCCCACTCGGGGTTGGGGATGAGTTGATGCCTCAGTGGAAGAGCGTCATAGGGTCTTGTTGACAAGTGAGACATCCACGAAGCAAGAATTTAACTGACAGATTGGTGTGGCATCTGTAGTAACATGGATGATGTACCGGCCCGTTGCGGTGATCTGGATACGAGCTCTGAGTAGTGACCAAAAGAACAAGACCGCAGATACAAACGGTGGAAAGGAATTTAATCTAAAAGGTGTCTGGGCTCTCCCTTATAGATTGGGTCAGGAGCTTTGTCATGCGGGAGGGACTCAGTGTAGCGCCTCCACAAAAGGAAAGGAGACAATTAAGGTGTCTCAGGTATCTGACTAGGATGCTTTGTAGGTGAGGTATTTCAGGCATATTCTGCTGGGAAGAAATCCCGGGGCAGTCCC